AAGAGTCCTCTTCAAAAACTCCTTCTCTTCACCTGTTAAGGTTACTTCTGGAGTACCACAGGGCAGCCATCTAGGCCCCCTACTATTCACACTCTTTATTAATGATCTGCCTTCAGTATTAACAAACTCTCGAGTACTCATGTATGCGGATGATGTTAAACTTTGTGTCCAGTATAAGGACATTTCATTTCACTCTCGCTTGCAATCCGATCTCAATAACTTTCAATCATGGTGTTGTGCAAATATGTTACACCTAAATGCCTCGAAATGCAAAGTAATGACATTTCATCGCTCCAGCCCCCTATTGGCTCCTTATAGCCTCTGCGGTGGTTCTCTTGAGAGAATTACCCTGGTTGATGATCTTGGTGTTAAATTAGACCCAAAGTTAAAGTTTTCTGAACACATTTCTACCATGGTAAATAAGGCCATGGGTGTGCTTGGGTTTATAAAGAGGTGGTCAAAGGAATTTGACGACCCCTATATAACGAAGACTCTCTATATCTCGCTTGTTCGTCCGATTTTAGAATACGGCTCTTGTGTATGGTGCCCCCAGTACAAAGTACACCAGGACCGTATAGAATCAGTGCAGAAAAACTTTTTACTTTTTGCTCTGCGTGGTCTTAACTGGGATGCAGGTGTGAGACTGCCATCTTATCCTCGTAGATTGCTTTTAATAAACCTTCCAACCTTAGTTAGTCGTAGAAAAATGCTTGGTGTGATTTGTATGCACAACCTGATCAAGGGTGATGTAGACAGCCCTGACTTGTTGAGCCGCATAAACTTTACGATTCCTATTAGATCTACTAGAAACTTCATTCCTCTTTTCCTTCCGCTTTGTAGATCGAATTATTCCTTGCACGAACCATTTAGGGTACTTTGCTCGGATTTCAATTCCCTCTACCACATAATATCAACTACTAATTCCCTTCCTCTTCTTAAATCACTAATACTAACATACCTTTCCCGTAATTAGTTATATTTTTTAGCTATCTTTGCATGTTTAGCGCTTAGAGTTGTGTTTAGCTCTAATTTTCCTCGAATTTTAGTCTAACACATATCTTTCCTGCATGCTCGCGATCGGTTCGGTAACACGCGTCGCGCGTCATGCGGCAGCGCCCCTCGGTCGGTTGGGCGGGAGGAGGGCTGCGTTTCTGCCTGGGTTCCGCGCGTAGGCTTTGGCTTGGTGTCGCATGGGCCACTTGATGGTGCAGTCATTGCATATCAACGTCCAGACAAAAATTGGGAGGAAACCTTTTTCTTCATCCAAAATATGGATGGCGATGCGCAATGCGTCATATGTTATTATGTTGCCTGTTATTATTTTATTTAAATTTTTATTTTACACGGAAGTATCAGCACGATATAGTTGCAACTTTTACTACAAATCGCTTTTGGCAGTGTAAAGCATAAAACGTTTTCAGTCGCAGGCATTTATGAGCTTTTGCTACACTCACAAGCGCACTTTAAAACATGTCACTGTATGCATGCCGAGCACTGCTTTATAGGGTCGGACAATTTTGTTCTGTGCGTTACGCCAGCCACTTTGACCACAAATCTAACATACCCCATAACTCTTCGAGTATCGGAAATAAAAAGGTTTAAAATTAGGCGAACATCACTTTTTAATGAGCTATACTCTTATAATTTGCCCATATGGTCACTATTTTTGCACAAGTCACCATTAGTTCTACGAGGGCGGATCAATAAGTCCGAGACCTTTTGAATTTCTCGCCACTTAATTGATATGGCAATAATTTTTCTGTCTAAAGGCATCTATTAACTGATTCCTTTCAAACTTTGAAGAAGCTGCGCCAGTTTTTTTGTGTTTTACAGCCATTGATAGCAACCGTCCTCATGCTTTGAAGAAACGAGAAGGAACGTGTGAGTCGCTTCTGGGGACGCGACTCTACTTATACCCGTACTCATTCAGTATATACATTTTTGAGCATATGGTTTTTGAGAATTAAAAAAAAATGTTACATATTACATTTGTTTGCCACATCTGTTAATTACATCAACATCTACAATGTATATTCTACATCTAACATGTAGATTCTACATGTACCATTTAGACTCTACATCTCCTCCGCTAGGGGTTGCTCGCGCACTGAACGCGGCGAGCGAGAAAGAGAATGAGTAGCGTTTCTCTGGCTGGGGAGGCAGGGGAAGCAACTGCAAATTAAATTTCTTCATTCTGGCTATAATTATGATCCGATCTGATTCAGATTCGGCAATCTGGTAGATATGGTCATTCTCTACGATACTGCGTTGTATTAGTTGTATCGTATCATTAAAATTGTGCCTGCCACAGATTTTCGTCCTTTGTGGGGGCGGAAGGGGGCGGGGCGAAATTTTGAAATACACGTGTAGCAGTGTGATATCACATGAGCCTGGAAACCAAATTTGGTTGCCCTAGCTCTTATAGTCTCTGAGATCTAGGCGCTCATCGAGACAGACAGACAGACAGACAGACAGACGGACAGACAGACATGGCTATATCGGCTCGGCTATTGATGCTGAGCAAGAATATATGGGCAGTTCCGCCAAAAGGTCCACCAGGCCAAAAATCATAAAAAGTCAATAAAAACCGATTTCCATAAAATTTTTTCCGGATATTTAATTCTAAATTTATTGAAAGGTAACTAATTCACTTTATTGACATATAATTTCATTAACTTTCATCCTAAAACCTATGAAAATTAGCAAAAGTTCACGTTTTTGTTATTTTCTGGTATTTTTATAGACATTTTTCTTTTACTATTATCTCCTAGGAAGAAGATGATTATTGATAAAAGTTTCTCCTTGAAGTCTTTCTAACATATTAAACTACCTAAAACCATTATCAGAGTGTTTGTCCAACCTCGGCTAACAGTATATTTTTAGGCTTTTATAATCGCGGAATTTGGTAACGTCACGCCAGTAACGTTCGCCAGATGCCTCAGCGGATTTTTAACAAAAAAAGAGGAAAAGTTTTTACATTTATAAGTTTGAAAATTAACTCTCAATACTTCATTTATTAGCACAAAAAATGTTAAACAGATAGCCCTATCCAATTCGCAGAGTTTTGCCATTTTGTACCCAAACCTCGAAAACCACTTCTGTTTTATGTAATGCACTTTTAGGTCATACTTTGGCTTATATCTTTAAAACCGTACGCTCGATTATTTCCATTTTTTTTTTGTGAATATAGGTCTAACTAAAGTATATTCAACGAGGATAATCTATTTTCCAAATTTCAGATTTTTGACTATTTTTTTCAACATTTTGTCGTACGAATGTAACGTAACGCCAGATAGGAACTGCCCATATATACTTTATGGGGTCGGAAACGTTTTCTTCTCTGCGTTACACACATCCACTTTTACCACAAATCTAATATACCCCTTAACTCTTTTTTGAGTACGGGTATAAAAATGGAAAAAAGTGAAGTTCGTACTCGCATTAAGCATTTTTTTTTTTGCGGAAAAAACTACTAATGAAACCAAGGAAAAGCTTGATTTATACTATGGGATCTATTCTCCATCGATTTCAATGGTAAACGAGAAGGAACGAGAAGACAGTACTCAGTCAGTATACATATATATATTTTAAATTTTTTTGCTACATCTGTTATCTACATCTAAAATGTCGATTACACATCTGAAATGTAGATTATACATCTACAATGTAGATTCTACATCTTCTCCGCAAAGGTCGCGCATTGCACAGGGCAGAGTGTGTGCGATCAAGAATATATATACTTTATCGGGTCGGAAACGTTTCCTTCTCTGCGTTGCACACATCCACTTTTACCAGAAATACAATGGCTCGACGGAATGAGATTTGAGTCCAATGATGAAGTATTCTTCCAAAATGTGTCTATGCGTCTATATAAAAAAAAAAAAATGAATGCCAAGATATATTTTTTTCGACTATTCCTGAGTTTTAAATATCACAATTTTGGGGAAAAAATGATCTAATTTGAATTTGAAAGCTTAATATCTTCCAGACTTCCAGTAGCTGCAGCTACTACTCTATTCAACCAGATATAAGATACTTAAATTATGTAAGAAATAGAAGCACTACCTCTGAGAAAAATACATAAAAAAATCAGCTCCGCTTTCGGCTCCTCTTCCAGCTATAGAGTGCGGTAGCCCTTGCAGTTGCCATCACCAAATGGTAGACCAATAGTCGATAAAATCGAATTTTTTTTACCGCGTCTGTCTAAGACAGTTATACCGTCTTTATATTCAGAATTAGATAAATACATTTTATCACATATGTTCTTTCAGGCTATTATTAATCCACAAACTTAAAATATTCCAAAATTTTCCAATCCACAATACTATCGGGTATTTTCTGTACGCAGCACATTGTCTATGAAAAGTGGACAACAAATAGAGCCTCGGAATATAGTTCTTGATCATATAAATAAAGTTTACATAACGATTTTTAAAAAAAAAAAAAACTATGATTCGAAATGTGTTGGAATTTAATTTATACATTCAAAACTTGGGGCACAGATTTGATTATACACTTGAAGTTTGACTACCACTAAATCTATTTCTTTCTACCAACCCGTTTATTAAGCTGAAAGCATTCCCACATACACGCAAACAATTATATTTAATTTAATAGTGTGACAACTGTTAGGATATAGTGCGACAAAAACTGTTAGTTTTGATATCTTAATACACAAAAAAGGTGTTCGCACAAAGACTTGACAATCTTTCTAAGCTGAAAAATTTACAGAGTTGTTCTACATATATCAGCATATAAGCTTATAAGCTTTTTTATAAAAACAGCTTTAAGCTCAGTTTTAATAAAACTTTTAAGGATAGCCGCACATAAGAAGATCGACTCGGCTTGTTTTCCTGATCAAGATTAAATATCTGAAAAAAATGTGACAATGAATGTGCATATTTCCTTGCAGCTGAACTAATTTTATCACGATGACAAAAATAAAACTAATAATCGTGTATCCCTGATAATCTCTCTTCACTGCCTCAATTCTATTGCAGGAAAAGCCGAAGCAATAAGCACGGAAATGAGAGTCAAGTTTAATGATGATGTCGCAATCGCAGAGTCCCGTAATCATCATCAACGATTAAGTGCACACGCCGCTTCACGACCAGATAGCCTGATCAAGGCGCTTCTCTCGAGCAGCAGTAACAGCCAGAGCAGCAGCACTCGCAGCTCGAACGGGCCGTCATCGACGCCCAAGCAAGTAAGTAGGTTTGGTGTCTCATAAAATAATTGCTAATGCCTTTCCCGTGCAGGAGTCCACTTTCCGTATTATGGACATTGCGCGCGCGGCTGACCCAGTCCCCGAGCGTTTTACCGAGGCCAGCTACGAGTGCACCATGTGTAGATTCCGCACCAGCAGTATGAATGTTCTCCTTATCCACCGACGCGGACACCTGGAGTCCTCCAGCAAATACAGCACTAGCAGCAACAGCAGCCAAAACGCCAGCATCACCAGCCTCAGTCACAGCCCCAACAGCCGGACAAGAGCAGCCAGACGCGCCAACACCGCCAATGAATTCGATTCTCCCCCACTTTTTGGAAGGCGCAGTCAGGACAGCAGCAACCACTTCCGTTGCCACTCGCGCCACGTTTCGATTGTGGTGGACGCCGCGCTCGGCGATGAGGCTCAGCAGAGAGTGGCTTCTATAGCCCAGATCACGATGGAAAGCATTGAGCGTGTGGTACAGCCCAAAGCCCATAGCAACAGCAACTCAAGGGCGTCCTCGCCCCAGGTTGTTTCCCCGCGTCAAAGCAGACAGAACCGACGGGACCCTCGTAATCAGCGCTTAAACAGGTTGCGCGCCACGATGCCCGCCCCTGAGCAGCCTTTGGCAAAGCAGCGCCGCCTGACACGATCCATGACCCGTCGTCAGCAAGGCTTTTCTCTAACCGAAGAAAGATCGCCATCGCCTTCTTTGCCACCACCGCAAATGATTCCGCGGCGCAGTGGCGGACGTGGTATTGCTGCTGAAAGACGCCGCACCTTGGCAGCGACTATGGCTGAGCAGGCTTTGGGCGTGCCCAAGCGTTCCAGTGAAGAAGGGAAGACTTTAATGACAAAAACCGTTCCAGTCCAAGTACCAGATACAATCTCACTTGAATGTAGTGCACCAAAAGCGAAGCGCCGAAAGAGAGCAGTCTCGAAAATCAAATCGGCGAAGTCTTCTCTATTAGTCAGAGAAGAAAAGAGATCTGACAACGTTGCTATTAGTTCCGAATCCACATATGATTTATTGCAGTATGCTGCTTCTCTACCAGCAACTGCAGTGCTCGCTGAAGATTCAGCATCGCCATTACCAATTACACCAACATCAGCAGCATCGCAGAAACCAAAAGTAAATTATTTGCTGTCGCAGACCCCAACTGCCGCTTCTTTGGAGCTTCAGCTAAGTCTGATGGCCGAGTGGGGCGACGATGAATGTGAGGAGCCCTTAGATGGCTCAATCGATCCCAAAAAAACCATTGAAAAAGCTCAGAACCGAGAAAAGGAGCCGGAAAAAAATAGAGGCGTCGCTTCCAAAAAGCGAATACGCAATATACCAAAGAAGGATCGGAGGGACGTGGTGCTACAGGAGTTTGACGTGGATAGCAAACTGGAAACGGGTGACGAACCAATCGTCATTCAGGACAGCGATGCCAGTTCCAACGAAAGTGTGGTTTTTGTTGAGGATGAGGTCCCAGCGCGCGAGAGAAGCAATGGAAATAGCAAATCCAAGGCCCACAATTCTTCATCCTGCTTCGACTTTGAAGAGGAGGAGGACCTGCAGCAACAGGATGGAAAAAATAGGTTGAGCTACAGACGTCGCACTAACCGCAATGACGCTAATGGCAAAGGCGCTGTGGATATAGAAGAATGGCTCTTGTCGCCAGTGCTGTCAAGGGAAGTCGTCAAGTGCCAGCAGCCGGGACAAGCGTCGACAGCACGAACCAGATCCAAAGTCAATGCTTGCAATGACGAATTATTCAAGGGATTCCACGATGAATTACAATTGGCAGCTGCCGCCGCAGCCTCTTTCGAGGCTAATCGATCTCTTAAACCGATCGACAATCAGGAAAATTTGCATCAATACGCTGATTCCGAACTAGATGAAACGGAGCTTGAGGCCGATCAGCTGAGCTTACCCATCAAGGAACGGCAGAAGCGTATTTTTAAATCGCGCAACAAATCAATAGAGATAGTGCCGAAAGATGAAAGTCCTCCCACATCGGTATCCACACTACCTAGTGACGAGGAAGAGGTGGCCGAAGGGGGAGCCTCTCCCCAACTTATCAATGGAGGGTACAGCCGCAGCTCGAGCAACAGCAGATGCAGTAACAGTAGCAGCGGAAGGAGTAGCAAAATACGTCATGGCAGTAAACCCAGGACAGATTTATCCCGTAGACAGCATCGACGCTCCAAGCTAAAGGCTCGATTTAAGCTTAAGCCCAAACCAACAGCCGAGGAATTTAACATCTGTAGCAGCAACAGCAATAATCTCTCCAACTCCAGTTCCATATCAAACACAAGTAGAATGGCATCCCCCCTTCTCAGCTCCAGCACGAGCTGCTCGATTGCTTCAAATATAGCAGTGATATCTGCGGAGGAGGCACGGGAGCTTCAAAGAACCGCGTCGGGAGCAGGTCTTATCAATGCAGCCATTGTGGATGCCACACAGCCTGTGCAGCGAGGGGGTGTGCTAATCCTTGAAGACATACGGCTGCCCAATCTTTACGATCGCCTTCCTTTCGGCAGCCTACATTCGTCAGACAGTAATGACAGCCGCCATCAGAAGTCAAACCACGAGAAGGTGGCCGTCGAGGAAGAACTTTCAAGAGACACAGATGAGCAGGACTCGGAAGACGAAGAACAAATCGTACCTCATGAAGTTAAATCCAAACTGGCGGCCAATCATATTAGCAAGAAAATGCTGGACGAAGTCCACGGGGAGGAACTACAAAAGCGTTGCCCAGAGCAAGAGATCGAATCTGGGCGGGATCTTGAGGCTGGCACAGAGCATCGGGATCTGGAATCTGGGCCAGAGCAAGAACAGGAGCTAGATTCTGAGCCAGGGCAAGAGCTGGGATCTGAGCAAGATACGAAATTGGTTGCCTCAACAAAACCAGATACGCCAGAGGCTGTGTCTTTTGTGCCCCAAAAACGGGAATTGCTTTTGAAAAAGAGAGAGCAAGAGCTACTTCGCCAATACGAGGCTGATCTGGTTAGCGGACGGAGTGTCGAAAAGTGTCGCAGGGCGCGGGAACGCTGGAGCCAAGTATTACAATCTACAGGAGAGTCGTCTTTAGATACAGATGGAGTACTGCAACTGAAGTCAGTATCTCTAGACATTGAAATAAGAACACCTGACGAAGATGAAGCCGGTCAACCAGAAAAGGGGCCACCTCCAACAGATATGGAGGCGGAAAATTCTGAAGAATCGGTAAGCTCGTTACTTGAGCCGCAGCCACAACTTGCCTCAGCGGAGCTGGTGGTGACACCGCCATATTCGCTACTCGCCCGGCGCCCTGTCAGCTATTCCCTGGTTAATTCCTCAACAGCCGCCCCCACGTTCAAGAGCGGAGACTTGAGCTATGCCCAGATATTTTGTGACGAAGATGTTGCCAAAGCCCACCAACAGCTGGAAGACCTCCGTGACCAGCAACGCCGTCGCTCCAGCTCATTGCCCATGCCGCTGTTGCAGTTTGGGCAGCGGCGCCAGCGTCGACGCTCGCGCAATGTAGGGAGCGACAACGTAGTGAGCGGCACCCGCCACGACACCGTCGAGACGTCGTGTGATCCGAAGGAACAGCATGAGAGTCTAGATAACGTAAGTGTCCCTCTATGTCCTTCACAGTATAAAATATTCATGGAAGCGGTTGCTTTCCATTCCCGCCTCTACATTCTTGTTTTAGAGTGATAAAAAGAGTTCCGTCATTTTCACCCTCTATCAATTCCATAATAATTCTCAATTTTAGGAAATTATCCATTTGTTTTAAGTCAGAGAAATAAATAAAATCTTAAAAAATAAGTTGACTGGTACTAGTTTCGCGGCAAAGCTTTTAATGCTCTTGATCCTTTGACAGGCAGACAGGCTATATCGAGTATCGATGATCTTGAGCAACCTGTGCTTCTTTCATTATGGCGCAGACTACGGCCTGGAATATGCTGCAATGGTTTGGTAGCGTATAGGACAGTCGTGTCTCAGGGTCTGTGCAGTATACTTGCTCTTACTCCTCCCGACATGTTACATGTATGAGGTTGTTTTGGCATCGAGTCAAGCTCTGGGGATCATGCAGTCAGATGATTTGATCATTTCCCGTCCAATTGAGCTGTGCCCGTATCCTTGTAATGACGTGCTTCCCCATGCGACAAGGTGTTGTGCCGCCTTTTTCACAGTCGGGTGTGCGTGGATGGTCAGGTCTCTGTTCCGAGTGTGGTTTAGAGTGCTTTAGTTTGGTCGACTTCAGCGCCCCCGTGATGCAGAGCAATGCCTGCCTGGATAGTTGGATTTGCAGATTTGCTGTAAAGGGATCTCTCGATGATTGCTACGAGCGAATGCAGTGCCGTCTCCACCTATATTCCGTTAGTGTGAACAGTTTTTGTTGACCAGTTTCTGACAAAACAGGCGACAACTTGATTTGAAATGGTTTAGTGCGAAAACTTTTGTGGCATTTGGTTCGCTTGAAAATACCCATACCGTCGATTACGGTTTTTTTTTTTTATACCCGTACTCAAAAAAGAGTTAAGGGGTATATTAGATTTGTGGTAAAAATGGATGTGTGTAACGCAGAGAAGGTAACGTTTCCGACCCCATAAAGTATATATATTCTTGATCAGCATCAATAGCCGAGTCGATATAGCCATGTCTGTCTGTCCGTCTGTCTGTCTGTCTGTCTGTCCGTCTGTCCGTCTCGATGAGCGCCTGGATCTCAGAGACTATAAGAGCTAGCGAAACCAAATTTGGTTTCCAGACTTATGTGATATCACACTGCTACAAGTGTATTTCAAAATTTCGACCCGCCCCCTTCCGCCGCCACAAAGGACGAAAATCTGTGGCAGGCACAATTTTAAAGATACGATAAAACTAAAAACGCAGTATCGTAGAGAATGCCCATATCTACCAGACTGCTGAATCTGAATTAGATTGGATCATAATTATAGCCAGAATGACGAAATTCATTTTCAGTTGCTTCCCCTGCCTTCTCCTGCCAACGACAACGCAACTCATTTTCCTTCTCGCTCGCACACTCTGTCGCGTTCAGTGCGCGAGCAACCCCTAGCGGAAAAGATGTAGAATATGAATAGTACATCTATAATCTACATGTTAGATGTAAAATATACATTGTAGATAACAGATGTAGCAAAAAAATGTAAAATGTAAAATGTAAAATTTTTTTTAATTTTAAAATTCTAAAAAAGCATATGCTCAAAAATGTAAATACTGACTGAGTACGGGTATGAGTAGAGTCGCGTCTTTAGAAGCGACTCACACGTTCCTTCTCGTTTTGCTTTATATTTATATATCCCTGATTCGTAACATGTTTAAATGACATACACAGCTTCTGAATCACCACGATCGTATATATATGTATATATATTATATATATATACGTATATATATGTGTATATATACGTATATATATGTATATATTATATATATATACGTATATATATGTATATATATATATATTTTTATTTTTTTTGATAATATTCTTAAACCAATTGACGTATTTTCTTTTCGTCCCACTAATGTCCAAAGATGTCTCTCGCGGTATGTGACATGCCCATCTTGCTCAATCATTGAGCGCTCATCATCAATGTTTTCTGGTGGAACGAAGTTTGTCCTGCAACGAAGGGCGTCCACGATTGAATTTGTTGTACCAGTCTTTCGCACTGACAACGCATTGTACTTCGTAAATAAAAGTTAAACCAAGCTGATGTAAGCATTTTTGGCTTAGAAATCCACATCAAATATGACAAAAAGTCGATGAGTTCCTTGGCGCTTGGTGCTTTTTACCATCTGGTGCCTCAGCGCATCCTTAGAAGTGAGCTTCTTCACTACCCTCAGTCCACTCTCCGACGTCTAGCTTTAGCTGATTCTGTATGAGTTGCTTTGAATTTGACTTCCTCGATACTCGATCAGAAGTTTCTTCACGAGTTTCTTTGTACGTTTCGTGTCTCCTTCTTAAAGCTCCCGAGTGGGGCTTAATACTTCTTGCTGATAATCACTTTCTTCTTTTGTTTGGCGGTCGTAAATCATATTTTATTGAAGAAATTGCTTTGCGGAGGTAGGTCCCGGCTCCGCCAAAGTAGCATGGTCCTCTTCATATGCACATGCGTCCATTTGTTTTGCTGGATAGGGTGCCTCTATGTCTTTTGCGGATTCCACTGAGCCCGCTATCATGAGCTTCGATGTAACTAGTTTTTTACAATGTTTTTATACCCGTACTCAAAAAAGAGTTAAGGGGTATATTAGATTTGTGGTAAAAGTGGATGTGTGTAACGCAGAGAAGGAAACGTTTCCGACCCCATAAAGTATATATATTCTTGATCAGCATCAATAGCCGAGTCGATAGAGCCATGTCTGTCTGTCCGTCTGTCTGTCTGTCTGTCTGTCCGTCTGTCCGTCTTGATGAGCGCCTAGATCTGAGAGACTATAAGAGCTAGAGAAACCAAATTTGGTTTCCAGACTCATGTGATATCACACTGCTACAAGTTTATTTCAAAATTTCGACCCGCCCCCTTCCGCCGCCACAAAGGACGAAAACCTGTGGCAGGCACAATTTTAAAGATACGATAAAACTAAAAACGCAGTATCGTAGAGAATGCCCATTTCTACCAGATTGTCGAATCTGAACTAGATCGGATCATAAATATAGCCAGAATGAAGAAATTAATTTTCTGTTGGTTCCCTCTCCTTCTCCAGCGCTGCTGACGCTACTGATTCTCTTTCTCGCTCGCACACTCTGCCGCGTTCAGTGCGCGATCAACCCCTAGCGGTGGAGATGTAGAATATAAATGGTACATGTACAATCTACTTGATAGATGTGGAATATACATTGTAGATGTAGATGTAGATAACAGATGTAGCAAAAAAATGTAATATGTACAATTTTTTTTTTATTTTTAAATTCTAAAAATCATAAGCTCAAAAATGTATATACTGACTGAGTACGGGTATAAGTAGAGTCGCGTCCCCAGAAGCGACTCACACGTTCCTTCTCGTTTCTTTTAGATCCTAGTACTCAGATCCAAAAATGTAAATATATTTTTCTAGCAGCCAGTGGGGTGACCAGAGGTGTGCACTGCATTCCGCACGGTTACACTGCTCAGACAGCTGTATTGTTTTGTTTAAAATAAATAAAGTTAATGAAATACACTTCTTCGGCTAGGGTCGAAGTACTTATACTATGGACTTAGGACAATTGACATTAATTAGAATTACAAGTAATTAACAACGAAAGGAGTGAGATCTGTGACAGGACGATACTCTTGGTTTGAAACACACTAAGGTCTGTTGTTCTTCCTACAGCCTCCTGTTGGTCAGGTCAGTTGGAAGGACTCGGTCCAGCCTTCTAAACGTCTACCTCTAGCAAGTCTCCTTTCCAGGACGTTTGGTTAGTTTGCTAGCTTGGCCATGTACCATTCGGACTGTTTGTTTATGACATCCCCTACCAGAGGGACACGATGGTCTCTGGCTATGTGTATGTTTCTAACAAACCACTCTGCTCCTGTGATCCTCCGTAGAAACTGGTTTTGTAAAGTGCGTATCCTCTTTAAATGTGTCTTCGCAGCAATGCCGTATACCTGAGGCCCGGGCCTTTTTGACGTTTAGCTTTTGGATGTCCTCCTTCACTTCTTCCAGCGTTATCGGAGCTACTGGAAGCTCCATCTAGTGCGTCAAGCTTGGCTTCGCGCTGATGATGTCTGAAAGGGTAGTAACCTTTCCTCCAAATCTACTGTGAATTCCACAGATCTGTCAGCAGCAGACCTTGCCTAAGTGCCGTCAGGCTTCCTAATAGGGAAGTTTGGAGTGGCTTGCCTCTTGTACCGGCTAGTGAGTTTCCAGAGGGTGTAGTTGGACCTTTCGTCAGCAGTCGCTTCGGAAAGCATCCTGTCCATGGCCTTAGTCCTAGACTTAAACAGCTCTTTCCGGACTCGGTTTGAAGACCTTTTAAAAACTCTGTCAACCTGCGGGTGGGTCATTGGTACGAATGTACTCGCGCCTGAGTCGCTTCTTAAGAAGAAGCAGCCCTTCGATTTCACTCGAAATGCTGCCTCTGTGGCTACCGGTCCATGATATCTGAGTGCCTTCTGGGCCGCAGGTGTCAGCAGCTGCAGCATCATCATATAATAATATAATTTTCCTTCATATAGCTGCCTTAATACGATTCAATTTGTCTTCATTATTTAAATATTTCATTTGATTTTTATACCCGTACTCAAAAAAGAGTTAAGGGGTATATTAGATTTGTGGTATAAGTGGATGTGTGCAACGCAGTGAAGGAAACGGACAGACAGACAGACATGGCTATATCGACTCGGCTTTTGATGCTGATCAAGAATATATATACTTTATGGTGTCGAAAATGTGTCCTTCTCTGCGTCCTTAACTCTTTGAGTACGGGTATAAAAAGAATGATCATATCTACTGTTTTTGCATAAAAAAGGTTCGATTGGATCATTATTATTTCCGGACTGAAATAAACGTGAGCGAGAGCGAGATATAACGGAATGGAAACAGATATACAATTTTAATAATAACTGGGAATAAAGAGAATATAGGAGTGCAGCAAATAATTTTATAAGATGTATAAATCTTAGAGCTGGTTGTAAGCGATGCATAAGCTACACGTGCAGCATTTATGTCTGTAGGGCTGCACATTCTGTGTGAAATGAATTGTATAGTTACTGCAAGGCAGCCGCTGCATCGTTTACAACCAGCTTAAGATTGCATACATATAAACTGAGCACCGGGTATCAAAATACCGATTTTTTGAGTAGTCGGAACGTCGACTATAGTCTTCAGAATATTCTTTAGTGCATCTGAATATATAATTCCCCTCAATAGTCAATTGTTCAACATGTTATGTTTGCTCATTGCAGCCGCCTCAGTTGTGCGCTGGGCGCATCTGCGCTGTGATGACCCGTCCTATACCGGGCTACAACCATACATTTATGCTCTGCTCGCTGGCCAACAACAACTTCATGCCGTTGAACAACGTGGCATTGTACCTGGACAGCGAGAAGAACCACCTGGTACCAGTGCCGCGAGAGGCGTTGGTGGAGCCACCGCGACTTGCAGATGGGCATCCCATGTCAGCTGTCTTTGCGGACATTGACTTCCGTGGTGGCCAGGCTATGGCTCAGGTCGTAGAGCCAGCGGACATGGAGATGGAGATGGGCGTGGACTTTGAGCAGAACAGCGAGGAGCAGTTCGACGCACCCGAGCAGCCCATTTCAGTGGAGTCGTCGGTGCAGGTCGTGAATAGTCATTCGGAAGAAACCACAATCGATAACAAACAGGTGGAAATGCTGGGTATCATGACGCCCCTAAGCCAAGTGGCCGAAGGGGTTTTGCCTGTGCCCAGCTTTGGTGGTACTCTCAATGTAGACGAGGAGTTGTCGCTGCACGAGGACCAATTGCAGTCTAACGTACTGCAGCTAAATGTCAACGGGCATCGCCTTGAACTGGACCCTTCAGTGCTTTTCAGCATTGCGGAACAGCCAGATTCCTGCATCGAGCTAAATGTGACAGAGACTGGTGCCAGCGGTGTCAGGGCCGTGCTCCATGCCCGCGATATACTTCAAGCAGCCCAGGCGTACCTGCAGGAGCGCGATTTGCAGCTTGTCAATGTGGAAGACATGACCTTAGATGAGGAGGATGTCGGTGGAACATCGGCAATAACAGTCCCCGCCACGGACATGCTGGCCGAAGCACTTGCGGACAGCCAAGTGGTCAACGATATCGAATATGTAAACGCCGCCAACGCTAGTGTAGCTTTGCTAAACATAGAGACGCGAAGCTCTGCCAGCGCTGGCCTCATAGACGTTGTCGACGACGAACCCGACGGCGTTGTGTTCGTCTCACACGTGCTGCCGCCAGCTGCTGCACACCTCACACCACCCATCACGGCTCGGACCAACGAAACAAATGCGCTTCTCAACCAGACGCCTATAATGTCGACGCTGGAGAATCCTAGCGCTGTGCAGCTGAGATGCGTATCTCCTTTGGGCGAAGTTAACCTGGAAGACAGTTTGGCCGTCATCGGCGTAACAAACACTAGTGGCGTACCCACCTCACTAGAGCTCCCAATCACCGTAACGAATCCGGCTATAGCTCCCCGCGTGACAGTCCCCATCGCGGAAATTCTGGGGTTCGCTCCCTTTCAGTAAGCGATAGATCGCGTCGACACAGTTTTTTCCTCTTTATTTGTTCGTTTTTTATCATACACAAGAGTTTTTTTCTTAGCCGTAGTAGATTTAACGAGAACGATTTTATGTTGAGCGTACAAGAGTAAGACATTAATTTTTTTTACGTTTTGCTAATTTTATTTAGCATAAAGAACCGATTTGATGTAAGGTATCACATACAATCTATATATATATCTGTATGAGCACGCATGGAATAGTTCCCTATCCTAAGGTCTTAGCCTTGACAACGTTTCTCCATTTACATTGAAAATGAATGAGTAAGTGCAAAATAAATATTACTCTAGCAAGTAGGAGATATAATTGATACATCATCGCAGAAAAAACGGAAGTATGCGATAGAAGAAGCATCATGATGATGAAAACATCAATATTCAACAGGAGTACAGCACATAGAGAATATGAGATAATATTTAGAAGATATATGTACATGTAAACATCTAAACTTCAAGCGCAACTTACATTTTATTACGTCGCATATGTCTTTGGCTAAGCAAAATTAATGTGTAAACTAAATACCGAGAAGTTAACTGCTTTGACAAGGCAACGAACTAAATAAAGTCAGCATACTCCAAACATCAACTCTAGATCCATATTGGGAACGTCTGTCCAGTAGAGTTCTAGAAGTATTAACCTTTGTAATTATTCGACATGGACTAGTAAAGATACTATAGTTAACACGGAAAAATACTGATACTATAACTGAAACAACTTATTTTCCTTCCTAAAGCCTAGTACTCAGTTCCAAAAATGTTGGCTAGCGGCCGAGTGTGACCAGGAGTACATAACCTATCGTTGCACTGCTCAGAAAGCTGGTTTATTTTGTTTACAAATTTGTTTAGACAAGTTAGATTTGACACCATTAACAGTTAACAAGAGCTTGTGCCTTTTTTATAAATAATTTTTATTTAAACCAACCTCAAAATTAGATCTGAAAAAAATTTATCAGGCCAACAACAAATAGTAAATTTGTGCGAACAGATGTGGTAACTCGATTTGGCTAACGATAAATCTCTGTTAATCATACAGCCTAGTAAGTTTTTGTCTCACGACTTGCCCCTGACCACACATTTAACGATGTAACTGCTTCTATCTTAAGCAAAATAAAAGCTGATGGCTTAAAAATGGAGAAGTTAAATTTTTCTTTTGTCACCCTGACAGCTTCCTTAAAGATAAGCGTCTGCCATACTCATTTCGAAATCATTTGCTCTGCCAAATTTTTGCCGGAGAACTTTGTTTTGAAGGAGTAAAAGGCTAAGAAGAAGAATAGGCCCCCCATAACTCTTCCTAGGAATCAGGCCAGTGCTTCATTCTTATCTTCCCACTCTAACTCCTAACAGTCAAAAACCAAAATTCCTCCTTAGTAACCTATCAGAATGCTTGAATCTTGCGTAGTAAGCTCAGCACTCTTTTCATTGATAGTCTCTCTTTTTTGTCCCACGTTATTGTGTTTACCGAGACCTGGTTAAAGCCGGACATCCTTGGCTCCGAAGTTTTGACACACAATCTTTATAGCCTTTCGTATCGACGTGAAGGAGAGGTCCTCATTGTAGTCGACTTAAACTTCCCGTCGGAACATTTCAGAATCCAGTTTCAATAAGACCTCGAATTCCTATTGTTTTTAATTTTATATTCCACCCTAATCGGATACCTCTATATTCGAGCAGCATCTGTCCACTTTAAAAACTGTTTCTTCCTCGCTATCAGATAAAGACCAGTTGATAGCTCTTGGTGATTTCAATTTGCCAGGAACTGTTTGGTCTTCGGTAAACGAGTCTAGTAACCTTGTGCCCATGTCACGACATAACTTTATTGACGGCTTGCTAGACCTGTCCCTCTCTCAAGTCTACCATGTGAAAAATTCCTTGGGCCGATTGCTTGATCTGCACTTTGTGTCGGATATAGCGTTGCTAACCCGAGCCCTTCCGGTCACTATACCTGAAGCCTCCTACCATCCTACATTCGAAGTGTCGGTCGATATTGGACCTACTGTATTGGATCGAGCGGGTAGGCTTTTTAACCGCTTTCGTAAAGTCGACTTTACAAAGCTTAATAACCTAATTAGAGATTTTCATTAGTCCGCTCTGTACTCGTGCACTGAAGATATAAAAGGCACAAATATTTTTATACCCGTAATCAAAAAAGAGTTAAGGGGTATATTAGATTTGTGGTAAAAGTGGATGTGTGTAACGCAGAGAAGGAAACGTTTCCGACCCCATAAAGTATATATATTCTTGATCAGCATCAATAGCCGAGTCGATATAGCCATGTCTGTCTGTCTGTCCGTCCGTCTGTCCGTATTGTTGAGCGCCTAGATCTCAGAGACTATAAGAGCTAGGGCAACCAAATTTGGTTTCCAGACTCATGTGATATCACACTGCAAGTGTATTTCAAAATTTCGCCCCACCCCCTTCCGCCCGCACAAAGGACGAAAATCTGTGGCAGGCACATTTTTAAAGATACGATAAAACTAAAAGCGCAGTATCGTAGAGTGACCATATCTACCATATCCTTCGAAATCGGATATTGTGTTATTCACAAATACGTACAAAATTACTTAGAGTAGCTAATTGACAAGAAGCTCAATTGGAACCTGAACATCAAAGAAAGAGTTACACCTATACTACTCTATGCAGTTACAGTATGGTGGCCTGCCATATCAAAAAGAACAATCACCAACAACTGGGCAAAGTACAACGAACTGCCGCCATATGCATCAGTATGCGTTCCGCTATCCTTTGGGTTCACTGCCTTGACCTTGCTGGCAAGGGGCAGGCAGACATGGCAGCAATGGGCATGACAGCACATCAGTCTTTCATACAATTTAAATAGAAACGAGAAAGAACGTTGTGTGGCGCTTCTGTGGACGCGACTCTACTTTTATACCCGTACTCAGTCAGTATATAAATATGTGAGCTTATGATATACATATGTGGAATTTTAAAATATTTAATATGTAGATTCTACATCTACAATGTAGATGCTGGTGGTGCTGATAAAGAATATATATACTTTATGGGATCGGAAACGTTTCCTTCTCTGCGTTGCACACATCCACTTTTACCAGAAATACAATACACCTTAACTCTTTGAGTACGTGTATAAAAATAATAATATCCCTCGCATCAAACCCACTTTTTCTTAGAGACTTGGGACTCTAAAATTTTTAATTATTTATGCGTTTTTTATTGTTATAGCTTATATTATTTCTAAAAAAAATGTATTTTTTTGTAGTTTTTTTCAGAGGTAAAATTGCTGTTTTCTTATAACTTGAGTATAGTACACGTAGATTTATAGCTACGAAAAAAGTCTCTTAAAAACTATACATTTTTGATTTTAAAGCATTATATTTTCCAGATGGTAAGCATACAAAAATTATGTGGAATAAAGCAAGCTCACCTCTGAATCAAAAAAAAAAAAAAATAGTCGAAGGTCCACAACGATTCCATTTTATATTGTACATGCGTATATATTATTATTAGCAAGACCTCGGCGGCTTCCCTCGTTGATATTTTTGAAAGGAGATGTATAATAAAATAAATAAAGTTGCTGGAGCCGCCAATGCACAGTGGGCGGCGTTCTATGGGAGAGCGGCCAAAAAGACTTAAAGTTAAGGTAGAGGCTTGAAAGTTTGCACAACATTTTATTTTATTTTTTGTAAATTGACGTATAAAAATCAGCCGGATCGGACTACTATATCCTATAGCTGCCATATAAACCATTTGTATGAAATCGAGTGTTTGTATGAAAAACTTTTTTTGTTATATTTTAATGCAATTAAATATTATATTTCTGCACAAATAAGAACTTTATGTAACCCGAGCGAGTGTAGTCAAAATCGGGATACTATATCATATAGCTTCCATAGCAACAATTGCAAACAAAAATAATTTTAGAAAATATACCAGATTCAAATATTAGTAATTTTATTATAACAATAACATACTTTTATGCAAACAAAATAGGAGTCATAACAAAAGAAATGGGCGTGGTAAAAATTAAATAATCAAAAAAAAAAGGTAAGAAATAATAATTAATCCGATTCTTCTAACAAATCTAATGCAGACTTCATTAAATTTGAATTATATTTGCATGGTAATTTCCTTAGTCCTGTAATAAAGGGATCGGAAGACAAAAGTAGTCTGTTTATTAAATCCGTGTTTGTTGCAATTCGAGATATTTTCCTACTATGTTGCCTTCTAAATATTTTTATGTCTTTGTTTCGCGATTCTGCAGCTTCTTCTGATAGTTCGCCAATTGAAACAAGCGCAAAATTAATCACATCTGCACCATGGCCATGCATGGATTAAAACTTTGTGCACTGTGGGCGGTGTGTGCACCATAGATTAAAAATATATAGGCGTGCAAACACACATTTATGAGAAACGCCTAAAAAGTAAATTCCAATGAAATGAATGAATAAGAATGTTACAAATAAGTAAGTAAGAAAGCAACAAACACGAAAGACGAAGATAGAGCAAAAGCAAAATACGCAAAAACATAACCTTGAAAAACGTCAGACGTCGTCAGTATATTTACGATTATATACACATCTGCAAATTTCTGCAGCTAATTTTAACGATTATTGTACCTTAAGAATCAGACAAACACAGTTACACACAAACGAATTGTGGAATTTTGTGGGATCACAACTAAAACTCCAACTAAACATGAAAAATACGTTTACAAAATACACAAAAAAGGTTTAATCGATCTAAAATACACAAACAAAATTTAATCAATCAGATTAATTTTACAAGAACAACAACTAAAGTAAATACCTTCAACTTTAAAATTCATTTTAAATAATTAAATTAGGAGAACTCTTTCGAACGCCTGACCACTTTTAAAAGCACTTTTGTTTTGACGAAAAGTTAACTTGACGCAACGGCGCTGAAAAATTGAACACGTGTTCTCGCTTTGCATTCTATTTTCAGAAAGTCCAGTAAGATTTCCGGAAAAAATGGTTTGCCAATAAGAAATTTGGACAATTTAGAGAAAAACTGTTTAAATTTTGACTAAAAATTTTTAAATGGATTTTTTGAATTTTGGCCTATGGGCGCACCCACTGTGCAATGCAACCTACAGGAAAAACATGAGTTTGGCTGGTCAATTAAAAAAAATTTTGTTAAAGAAAAAGAAGATAATCCAGCACAGGCTTTGAGCCGAGGGACCCCGGGTTGGAAGACTTGACTAATCCCAACAGACCACATTTCGATTTGATTACTGTACGCATATTTCATTTTCCCTCTTGCCTCTTGCCTTTTGCGGTTCGACAAACTTTAATTTTCTATACTTCAGGCGAGAGGATCAAATAACGGTTCGGTAGCGGAAGTCATTGGCCGGATTTTTTTGTAATTTCGGTTAATTCCTAAACATTAAATGCATTTATTAAGCAGCAAAGCGCGCGGATCTTCTAGTATGTATGTATATATATGTAGATATTGTACATATCTAAATAATGAGCTGATCCAATATTGGGTATTTTGGCGTCTGATTCCAGTATAGTACCCCTCCAGCACCAAAAAAGCGCCAAATAATTCAATAAATTCAGTTCTCCAAATACATACCTCTCT